TAGCCAGGCCCAGTTCCTGCAACCGTTCATCGTATGTTTCATCCTCCAGTCCCCTCATCATCCTGGTTGCTCTTCTCTGTACTTTTTCTAGAGCCTCAACATCTTTTTTATAATGTGACCAAAACTGGATACAGTACTCTAGATGTGGTTTTACTAAGGGTTTATAGAGCGGTATTAGTACCTCACTTGGCCTCAGTTGTATCCCTCTATTAATGCAATTTAGGATTGCATTGGCTTTTTGGGCTGTGTGCAGTTTTTCCCCCCAAAATACGATGCCACCGTGTTTTCTGCCTCTCCTGCTGCCGCTCACCCTCCTCCCTTTCTCCTCCAGAGGTGGATCTCTTCAGCCCAGGCCGGATCTCGGAGAAGGTCCTCCTGCATCTGCTACAGCATCCCAGCGTCAACCAAGAAGTGAAATTTGACGACTGCAACCGCTTGGCTGCTGAACATTACCTGTATCAGCGCAACCAGCCGGTCAATTACTTTGTGCTCATCCTGCAGGTATGATACGTTTAGGGCAGTGGTGGCTAACCTTTTGCGGCTCCCGTGCCAAAAATTGCGCTCGCCTGCCAGCTCTCAGAAGGCAATGCGCACCCACATTGTACACGTGTGCGCGATTCCCCCACGCCGACCCCTTACTGGCACTGTGCATGCACACACACCTCCCAGCTGATTTGGGGCCCGTTTCATCACTTTCGGTATTTTTGGAAATACAGGAAATGACGAAACGGGCCTTTTTTTCGGCCTCCAAAGGCTGCAGAGGCTTCCCTCGAGCCTCTGAGAGGCCGAAGAAGGCCTCAAACGGGCCAAAAATCAGCTGGGAAGCATGCGCAGTGCAGGTAAGTTTGCTTGGGGTTTGCATGCCCGTACAAATGGCTCTGCGTGCCACCTGTGGCATGTGTGTCATAGGTTCACCATCACGGGTCTAGGGGCACGCAGGGAGGACCTTGAGAGAGGATGGAGGCCCTGGTTCAAGAACCGGGTTGGAGGCTAAAGCAACTTCTCAGAAACAAGGCAAAGGTCTATCAAACAACGCAACAAGGCAGACTTTGGCCTCCAGACCCAGCCCAGGAGGAGCAGACGGTCACATGGAGTGAGGAGTCCTCCCCAGTAGAGCAGGGGTGTCCAACTCAAGGCCCGTGGGGCATATCTGGTCCGCCGGGTGCTTAAACCTGTGTAAATTGCGACCGTATGTTGAGGTAGGGCAGGGATCTGGTAACTTTAAGACTTGTGGACTTCAACTCCCAGAATTCCCCAGCCAGCCAACAGCCAGCCAGCCATACTGGAAGGTATTACATGGAGAGAGAGAGAGAGTGTGTGTGTGTGTATATGTATTATGTATGTATGTATGTATGTATGTATATGTGGATCTTTGGTTATTCAGGTTTTCTCCTGTGTAAAATTGGAAGTATCTAGGCAACGTTTTGATGAAGTCTCATTCATCATCTTCAGGCTTGTGTCTTCGGCTTTGTGCTTCTCGAAGCCAAAGACACAAGCCTGAAGATGATGAATGAGACTTCATTGAAACGTTGTCTAGATACTTCCAATTTTACGCGGGAGAAAACCCGAATAACCAAAGATCCACATACAATACCCACGAAAACCTCAGAAAAAACACACACACACACATATGTGTGTGTATGTGTGTGTGTGTGTATTTGAGCATCAGTAGCGCAGTGGTTAGAGTGCAGTACTGCAAGCTACTTTTACTGCAATTGGGCAGATCGAATCCCACCAGGCTCAAAGTTGACTCAGCCTCCCGTCCTTCCGAGGTGGGTAAAATGAGATCCCAGATTGTTGGGAGCAAGAGGCTGACTCTGTAGACCGCTTAGAGAGGGCTGAAAAGCACTGTGAAGTGGTATATAAGTCATATAGCTATTGCTATATGAGGGGGGAATGCACCACTGTCTATAAATGGGGAGGCATGGAACCAACCACTTTCAATCCTTCCATAAATCCTATTGCAACTGGAAGACCTGCAACTTAGCACTTAGTAGGTCTTAATTTCCAAGACTTTAATTTTGCTCAGTGGTCAAATAAAAAGGATGCATCCTGCGGCATCGCTTCTTACCCCCGGAATTCAAAATGGTCCAGTCCATTGTGCCTTTGGCTCGCATGTCCTTTCTGATGCACAGGACTCCCCATCTCCTGAATCAAAGGCCTGAAATGCTGCTAGCCCTTGCTCTTCGGCCACTCCATTGAGGAGGAGGAGGGGGGAGCCAATGGCATTGCAATCTCTCTGGGATGAGTAGTGAGTCCTAATGCCATCTGGGAGTAGATATGGAAAAGAGGTGAGATGTCAGGCCACGAGGAGGCTGGATTGCTGAGAAAGGAGGATTAGGTTCTGCTACGTCCTCCACAAGAGAGTCTATGATAACTCGCCACAGCCAACTCTTTTAATGATCCCATAATCCCTTGCGGGGGGGGGCGTGGAGCCTGGGCAACTGAGCTAGCAGAGTGTTTTACTGGCCGGATACCTTTTCTGTTGCCAATGCGGAGTTTTGTTCAGCAGGTATATTCCCATTGTGCCCAGAGAGAGAGTGAAATATCTGCCTCTACCAAGGATCGAACTCACAGCCTCCCCCATTGTGAGGCGAGAGGCCACGGCGCCACGCCTCGCCCCAGCCAGCTTCCCACGGTTAATTCGCCGCAGAACAATTCCGTTTTAATTATTTAACATAATTTGAACGTTGTTTTTAAGTTTGGTCATTTACAATTTCATCTGGTCCCTCCTTTGGCATCCTTTCTTTAGGATGGCTCTCTTATTTTCCACCATTTGCACTTTAAAACGAGCAGAGGGCAGAGTTTATCATCATTGGCTCTGATGAAAAATGGGTTTTGGTATCTGGGGGAAAAAAAAAGGCAAAAAAAAGGCAGATGTATGATTGCTGTGTGTGGGTCTTTGTGGAGCATGTATTTGGGGTGACCCCTAAACAGGGAAAGGAAGAATTAAGGGGTGGGGGAAGCAGCCTTTTTTCTATAGGAGAAGTTAAAGAGAGCAACCGCAATCCCGGGCTTTGGGAAGCTTGGAAATTCATACTGTTGCTTCTCCACGCACAACGCGCACACAAAAAACACTCCCAGGTCAGAGGCTCATGTTGCCTTTTTGCTTCCTCTGCCAGGGCAGGGTGGAAGTTGAGATTGGGAAGGAAGGACTGAAATTTGAAAACGGCGCCTTCACTTATTACGGTGTGTCCGCACTTACCGCTCCTTCGTCAGGTGAGTCCTTCGCTCCGTCTTGAGGTGAGCGGCCCTGGGGTGACCCAAAGGGGCGTGGCACAAGGGCAACACAGTCAAATAAGCAAGGAGAGTCCCTTTATTATCTCCAACTTTGCCCCCAGTGTCCAAGTTACCTTCAGGCTGGAGAAAAACTCTCCCAGGAACAGCCTTCAACCGTAGAAAATTCAGTCCAAAACAAGGGACACGCAAACTGTAACTTAAAATCCAAACCGACCAACCTGAAGTAATTAGTTTGGCAGGGCAGGAGCAGGAATTCCAGACTTGAAATCACGGCAAAACACACACAGTTGGGAAGATGCCAGGAACACGGATAAGCCACGACGGCGCAAGATAAATTTACATTTGCTTCCAACAACTTGCTGTGCGCAGTTTCCTCTTTTTATACACTGTGTTCCCAGCTGCAGTTAAATGAAGGGAATCAGGGCCCTTTCCTCCTCTGTAAGCCACGCAACTCACGTTGCTCCCTTCTCCATTCCTCCCTGCATGCCCTAAGGGTGAAGAGAGGGTGGGCCTGGGTCTTTTTACTTTTTAGCCAAGGCAACTTTAATACCTTCGGAACTGTGGGCTGGTTTCCGTGAGAAGAAAAGTTTAAAGAAAAAGAAAACAAAGTTAATGGCTTTGATATCTTATTCCCAAGCCTCCCCCAGTGTCATGCCTCTGTTGGAGTCTGACTCCGAGGGAGGGGAGGAACAGCCGACAGGAAGTGGGAGTGTGGCTCCGGAGGTTGTGGAGGAAACTGGGGAAGGGCAGAGGCTGGCTGGCTCATCCCCTCTCCATCCTAGGGCACGCAGGGAGGAGAGGATAAGGGAGAAACATGAATGGCGTGGTCTATGGGGGAGGAAGGGGCCCTGATCCCCTTCATGGGCTGCAGCTGGGAGGACTGTTTAAAAGGACAAAGTGCGCATGGCCCAGTGCTTGAAGCAAAGTGTGTTTTATTGTTGTCTGAGCTTATTTATCTGTAGTTTGGTTTCCTCCCCAACTGGGATGGCTGCATTATCTGGTAGAAGTCTGCAAGCGTAGTAATCCCTTCAGGGTGGTTTGTGTTTGGGTTTTTTTTAAATTTCAAATTAACTTTACTTTGGGTGCAGACGGCATTTACTCCCTTCGTAAACTGTTTTCTTTAAGAGTTTGATTTCCAGCCGAGGATAATTGGACATTGGGGACCAAGTGGGAGGCATTCTATTTTTTGCGACCCGGTTATTTTTGTGTCACGCCCCGGATCGTCACACCCAGCGTTGCTTTTTCCTTCTCGGCAGTCCACCAGTCCCCAGTGTCCACTTTACGGATGAATCGTCGCGAACAACAGGTTGACGGCACAGACCCCACCAATTATTCGGCATATTGCCCTGACTACACCGTTCGGGCCCTCACCGACCTGCAGTTCATCAAGGTGAGCGCCTTCCGCGGTTTGCCAGGTTAGAGGCTGGGAGCGGGGAGACGTTGAAAGTTGGGGACGGCTCGGCAGAAATGTATTTATTTATTTGAAAACTAGCTGGATAGCCGTGCTTCGCTACAAAACTATGTGGTGGGGCTTAGTTTTTGGGGGGGAGGAAAATAAGGACTGGGGGGGAATTCTGCCTCTTGTCTACCAACATCCATCGGTATTCATCTGGCTAGCGTCCTGTCAGTGTGTGTGAGAGTTGAGGGCTGTTTGAAAACTGGAAGAGTATTTGCTGTGTGAGCAAGGAGGAGACAGTAAGGAGCCTGGGTGTGGCTTAGCTCAGCTGTTCTGTACTAAAGCTGCTTGCTGCTGTGAAACTAAAATGGAAACTGAAACTGAAACTCCTCTGCTTGTGTTTTGCATTTGGAAGAGATTTCTTTTCAGGTGGGGAGGGGGAGTAGAACTCCTTAGCATCAGAGCGTGTTAATAATAATAATATAGGAAATACTCTAAATGCTCTGAGGGTCATTTCGAAAAATCCTTTCTTAGTGAGCCCCTAGAAGCCAAGAGGAACCTACGTGCCAAATTTCAGGCTTGTAGGCTTTACGGTTCTAGTTTTTGGGGAGGAAAATAAGGAGGAAAAAATTCTGCCTCTACCTACCAGCATCCATCAATATTCATCTGGCTAGCGTCCTGTCAGTGTGTGAGAGAGTTGAGGGCTGTTTGGAAACTGAAGCAGAATTTGCTGTGTGAGCAAGGAGGAGACAGCAAGGAGCCTGGGCGTGGCTTAGCTCAGCTGTTCTGTACTAAAGCTGCTTGGTGCTGGGAAACTGAAAAAGAAAGTCCACTGCTTGTGTTTTGCATTTGGAAGAGTTGTAGCATGTTGCGGGAGCAATAGCGTCGATTATTATGATTAACACTGTTCCATCCATCTTCTGCCCTGCGAAGGTCACCCGTTTGCAGTATCTCAATGCCCTCATGGCCTCGAGGATACAGAACTCGCCCCAATCCCCCGAGGCTGTCGATCTGAAAATCATCCCTAGCAGCCAGACCAAGCTCCTGAATGACAAAAATGCGGCAACAGGTAAGCCCCTTCCACGTCCGGGGCGAGCGGTTGGGACCGTCCCCTGATTATTTCGGTTCTGGGCAGCCCCCTTGAGTTCCCTTCAGAAGCCTTGGTCCCCAAGAGCTCGCAGTCTCCTTCGGCTGTTCTGACCCAAACCCTTTTCCAATAAGACAAACAATAACCAAAGGGAACGGAAACCTTTGAACGAGTCTTACGAATCCCTGGTTAAAAGGCTGCTGCAAACTAATTAACTTTGATAAGCACAAGCCTGGCCAAAACTGTGCGAGGCTGCCAAGAATCACAGATAAGAAATATTTCACAACACAAAAGTCTTCAAATACCGAATTAAGATACTGTAATGTCCACGAGGCTGAGTTTCAAAACGTCTTTGCTTCCTGCAAAGAAGGTCCAATTCACAGCTGGCTTTTATCTTCTTGAAGGGGGGGCCATTCCCTTGCAGCCTTACTCCCGAGTCACCCGTGCTGTTGCAACGGCTCTTTCCTGCACGCAGCCCTGCATGCACGCGCAGTTGGCACAGGCTCCTCGGGAACCTCCTCGTCGCGGCTGCCAGCCCCCACAATCTCCGAAGGCAGCAGTCCACTCCCTGATGGTCCTGGCCCCTCATCTGAGTCCTCGCTCTCCTCAGCCGTCCGCACCTGCTGCCGGCTAACCACTACATCGGCCTACAAGATGGCACTGAGGAAAGTTTGGTAAAGGCCGGAAATGGGCCTTTTTCCAGTTCCAAAGAGCCTCCGGAGCCCAGGGGAGGCCGTTTTCGCCCTCCCGGAGGCTCGGGGAAAGCCTCAGGAGCCCAGGGAGGACAAAACGACCCCTCCCCCATGGTGCAGGAGGCCGACTAGGCCACGCCCACCCAGCAACCGGGCAGAGAACCCCCTCGCTGAAATTTTTGAAGCCCACCCCTGGAAAAGGGAATTAAAAAGGCCTGGTTGGCACCTTAAAAGCATCGGATAGGGAGGGAAGGAGCTGCCCGCGTTGCTTTGCGGTTTATGAGGGAAAGGAGGAAAGGTGGCGTCCTTTTTTGAGGCCAGAGCTTTGGGGGAGCTAAAGGGCTTAGGGAGAAGGCGATGATGGGGCAGGAGGGAAGGGTGGCCCAGGTGGGGGGGTGGGTCACATCCAGCCACTTAGGGGGTGCCCCCTTTCTCCAGGCGCCTCGCTTGTTCTCTTTCCGTGGCGTCTGCTTTCTGGGCGCTAAAGGCTCTCTCTCCCGTTTCTCTTTCTTCTTCCTTCCAGCCTTCCCGCTAAATCTCTCTTTCTTTGGCACAATTGAGAACCACATTTAACACAGGCCTCTCTGCCATAGCCTGGAGTCCCTTCCTTTTTTAAAAAAGTCACAAGGTAAATATCTTCAGATTTCTCCTTCGTTTGTGTGTTCTCTCTCTCTCTCTCTCTCTCTCTCTCTCTCTAGTTCAAGCCTTTATTGTCAATGCACAACATGTGTACAATGAAATTGGATGAGCCTCCCTTGGTGCAGCCCACCCAAGAGCACAGAATATATATCAATCAATCAATTAAAAAAAGAAATCCCCAAATAAGTAATAAGCTAGCACACATTTTCCCATCTCTCTCTCTCTCTCTCTCTATGTCTTTCTCCCTCTCTCAATCTCTTTTCCTCTCTTTCTGTCTGTCTCTTTCCCCCCTTTCTCCTTCTCAATCTCTTTTCCTCTCTCTCTCTCTCTCTCTCTCTCTCTCTTTCCCCCCTTTCTTCTTCTCAATCTCTTTTCCTCTCTCTCTCTCTCTCTCTCTCTCTCTCTTTCCCCCCTTTCTTCTTCTCAATCTCTTTTCCTCTCTCTCTC